GTAAAAGATATTGGCATTTACTTACATTTTTCTTGTTGGCCTTTTTTCTTTTAAGTAGTTAGAAATTCTTTTCCATTCGTGTTGAAACATATTCTGTACTATTTTGCAAGGATGACTATTTTTCGTCACCTGAAATGTTATGTGGAAAAAATACCCGAGCTTTTGTTTTAAAAAAATAAGTTTCTTTGCTTTTTATTGTAGAATTCATTAGAATTTCTTGATTATTGTCATTTATGTCTCTTTGTAAAAATGCATTGTAAAATTTGTTTTATTTTGTATTAATTTTTAGAAACTAATGTTAATAGCTTATCAGATCTTATTAATACTGTCAATTTTGGCCTTTATAAACTTTTCAATTGTACAACTGTCAATAATTTTATTCTAAATCTATGTGGAAAGATGGTATCTTGTGCTTACATTTTCCATCAACTTGAGAATGAATGTTTTCAAATGTGATCAAATTATAGTCGTGCTAGGATGACCATTTTTCGTCACCTGAAATGCAATGTGGATAAAATATCTGAGCATCTTTTAGAACATTTTTTTTCCTCTTGAATTCTGCTGCAGAACTTGATTGTTATTGTCACCTTAATCTTTATAAAGAAAAAAACACCCTTGAGTCATTTGTACTGTTCTCAAAACTTATTCTAAGAAAGATAAAAATTGCATTGATGAAAAGTAACTCTAGTTAAAAGAATGGAGCTCAGCAGAACTTCTGAACAAATATTGTCAATTGAAGCCTTGAAAAACTCCTAAATTAATTGTACTGCTGTCAAAAATCTTATTCTATGTAAAAAAGATATCAGCACATACTTACATTTTCCATTAAATTGAGATTTTTCCCTTGTTTATGAAAATAATGATGTTCAAATGTTATAAAATAACAGTTATGCCATGCAGAGAGGGCCATTTTTTTCCCCTCTCTCATAACAAATATCTGAGCATCGTTAAAATATCTTTTATCATTATATTTTTTCCTTGATACAACTTAAGTTACAAGTTTCAATTTTGTTAAAATTGAATATTTGGCTTTTTTTTTTTTTTTTTAATGGAGTTTGCAGAACTTTATTATTTTTGTTATTTGAAGCCTTGAAAAACTCCTGACAGATCTTAAAATATTTTTTTGTGTTTAAACGATATTGTCATTTACTTACATTTTTCTCATTGGCCTTTTTTCTTAGAAGTATTTAGAAATTCTTTTCTCTTCTTATTGAAACATACTCTGTACTATTTTGTAAGGATGACTATTTTTCGTCACCTGAAATGTTATGTGGAAAAGAATTCATTAGAATTTCTTGATTTTCTAATGAATGATGACATTTATGTCTCTTCTCTCTTTGTAAAAATTCATTGTAAAATTTGTTTTATTTTATATTGATTTTTTAGAAACTAATGTTAATAGCTTATCAGATCTTATTTATATTGTCAATTGTGGCCTTTATAAACTCTTAATTTGTACTGCTGTCAATGATTTTATTCTACATGGAAAGATGATATCTTGTGCTTACGTTTTCCATCAACTTGAAAATAAATGTTTTCAAATATGATCACATTATAGTCATGCTAGGATGACCATTTTTCGTCACCTGAAATGCAATGTGGAAAAAATATCTGAGCATCTTTTAAAATTTCATTTTTTTTCTCCTCTTGAATTCTGCTGCAGAACTTAATTGTTATTGTCACCTGAATCTTTATAAAGAAAAAACTCTTGAATCAATTGTACTGTTCTCACAACTTATTCCAAGAAAGATGAAAATTGCATTGAGGAAAATGTAACTCTGGTTAACAGAATGGAGCTCAGCAGAACTTCATGACTAATATTGTCAATTGAAGCCTTGAAAAACTCCTAAATTAATTGTACTGCTGTCAAAATATTTTTCTATGTGAAAAGAAATCAGCACTTACTTACATTTTCCATTAAGTTGAGATTTTCCTCCTAAATTTCTTTCATTATTCTTATTTATTTTTGGAATGCAACATTTGATTATTTATTAATTATCATCTGAAGTTTTAAAAGCATTACATCATTTGTACAGCTTTCCTAAAGAGAAAGAAATTGTATTGTTGGAAAAGTAGGAATACCATACTTGTTTTGAATTTTTATGTCCTTAAAAATGTCTAAATAATTTGCTTGTTCTTACTGTATAACAAACAATAGTGAAAATCACTTCTTGTATATCCTAAATTTTTACGGCTGTAAGCATAATATAATTAACATTTAGCTTAGAATCATTCCCTGTGGCAGAATTTTTTCGGGCTGTCTGCGACAAACCCTATATCTCTAATTTCTTACTGCAAGATACTTTTAATAATAACAAACATATATGTTATTAATTTTTTTTTTTTTTAAAAGAAATATATAATATATTTTTTTAAAATTTGAACATGTAATAATTTTTTATTCTAACATTATGGGTAATAATCTAGAATTTTGTTGTGTAGAAATGATTTTCGAAAAAAAGATCGATGACGAAATCGCACGAATCCGACTCCTCAAACGCGTGTTTCATTTTGAGAATAGGTTGTTGTAATAAATAACATGGCATAAAAAAGTATCGGATTTAAGAACTATGGAGAAATCAATGGCAATAACTGCCAAAAATTCGGTAGAATTGTTGCCTTCAAAAGTAAATACTGAATGCACGATTCGAATACTGTTTGAAATATGTCGGAATATTTAAAACCCATGTGAAAACCAATATCAATAACTGCCGAAAATACAATCGAAACATTACATCAATTTATTATACTTTGAACACGGCAAAAAGTGATTATCTAAATGCATCATTCAAGTATCATATGTAAATTTGTATAGAAAAGAAAAGTGCTTTTTCTATTAGAAAAGAACAATTTTTTGCTTTTCAAAAGAAAGATCTTTCTGCAATAACTCTGTAACGTTCTGCGACAATGTTGCCATGTCGCTGCTATTCTGTCACGGGGGAATCGTTAAAGCTAATTATGTCTAATTACGAATAATTGTTTGTTATCTTTTGTTTAATTACTTTATTTTCTTTAATATTTAGTTAATATATTTGTGAATTGTTATTTTAGGTAGGAATTCCTCCTGCTCCTCGTGGTGTTCCTCAAGTTGAGGTTACTTTTGACATTGATGCTAATGGAATTGTTCATGTGTCTGCACGTGACAAGGCTACTGGTAAAGAACAAAACATTGTTATTCAATCTTCTGGTGGTTTAAGCAAAGACGAAATTGAAAACATGATTAAGAATGCTGAGAGGTATGCTGAAGAAGATAAAATCAAGAAGGTAGTTTTTTTTATGGTTATTTTATCTTTTAATCCTTACTTTTTATTTCTAGATTTTTTTTTATTGTGTATATAATGGTTTTTGTTTTAGGAAAGAGTAGAAATAGTCAATCAAGCTGAAGGTATTATCCACGACACTGAGTCAAAAATGGATGAATTTAAGAGCCAACTTCCTGAGGAAGAGGTAAAATATTCTCTTTGAAATTCTTTTTCATTGACATTNCTTAAAACAAATAGTATTTGAGTTTAGGAATTTAAAAAAAAAATTTCTGTTCTCTTCTCAGTAATAATTTAAGCCTCTGTTTTTTTTCTTCATTTTAAAATCTGAGAGAAAAATTATGTTCATGTGCTGAGATTTAAAAAAAAAATTAAAAATCTTCAAATATTCTGATCTTTAGCATCTGCTACTGGGCTGAAGGATTTCTAATACTGTGGTCCTCAATTAAAAATGCTTTTTTTTTTATTATTATTATCTCAGGTTTGCCCCATGCGACTAAAATGCAACTATTTTTGGCCTCAAGTGACTATGGCAAATTTTTTATTTGTCTGAAAAGGGTAAAGGCTACTTTTTTCAAGAAAGAGAGATTATTGTGAGATTTTCCTGTTCTCCTAGCAATGTTTTTTAGCATAAATTGACAGCATGCAAGAGCTTTTGAACTTAATTCTTTTTTCCTTTAAAAAAATTTTGAATTGCAAAGTTTATATATATAAATTTGCTCAATAATTATTGATAAAAAGGGAAGAAAGTCTTCTTTTTTTTTAATGAAAAAGTATTTAATTTTCTGCAAATATACTAATCTTTTATTATAAAAATTTATTGCTCGAACACCAATGTTAATGTAAAAATTATCATATTGCCACCACCTTGACTAAATGGATCATGGTATATGACAAGTCATTTAATAAAATTTTAGTCTTATTTAGGCAACTATTATCATGCTTTAAGCTACTAAAAGCAACTATTTTTTTTTTTGTAGCAACCCAGTTATCTCTAAAATTTGTAAACAGCTTTGATTCCTTTGTAAATTGTTTTTGTGTTTGGTTTCAAACCAAGCACAAAAATCGCTTTCAGGGGTAGGGGTATTTTAATCATTTATTGTTAAATCTCTTTCCACTTTGAAATGCTGTGCTACATTTAAAAAAACGTATATTAAATCTGGTTCAATAGTTTCATGTTCTTGTACTGCTAATGTCTAAGTCACTTTTATGTTTAACACTTTTCTCAGAAGAATATTCAGTAATCGATGTACACATTTCTCTAGGTTACAAATATAAAAACTAAAATTTCTGAAGTAAGGCAGTTAATTACTAATAAAGACCAGGAGTCTCCAGAAACAATTAGGAAAGCCATGCAGGAGTTGCAACAGTCATCTTTGAAACTATTTGAAGCTGCATATAAGAAGGTTAGTTATCTTATTACATTCATTGATATTAATGTAATTTCAAATGATTGGAAAGTTTTTTTCAAAAATAATTTGCTTATTTTTTAGATGGCCAATGAGAGGCAATCCAGCTCTGGCAGCGAAAGCACCACTGACAGTACCACGGATGAAAAAGAGGAAAAGGAAAAGAAAGAAGAAAAGAACTAAAACATTTGCGTAAAATTTTAAGTGCAAATAATGAACTGATTTAGCGAAAATAAATTATTCATCTGCTGCTTGTGCTTTGCCATGTACAACATCGACTGCCATGTCTGACACTGGATGTTGGGTATAGCAAGAATCACTTGCATTGTATCATAGGTCATCCAAGATTGTGTAGATACTAAAATTATTATAAATGTGACGTCATTTTTATTTTACAAAAATAAATAAGTTGAAATTATTATATCCTTGTCTCATTTCATTATCCATATATCAATGATAAGTGACATTGAGTTATATTAAAAAGAAAAACCTCTTTTTTCTTTTTTTTAATTAAAATGTTTTAGTACATTTGAAAAATATATAACAGTTTCAATACCAAGTACTTTATCTGCTCCTTGTCTTCTGTGTTAAGCTCAAAATTATAAGACAACATAGTTAACTTTTATGAATTACGTACTTATTTTGTATAACTAATTTGTTATTATAATAAATTTTAGTGTGTTAAATAGTATTTTTGTTAAGCAAGATTTATTTTTATTTCCATTATTATTTTTCAAATGATAATAAATCCAGTAATATATTTTGAAATAAAAAAAAATTACGAAATGTAGGATTTCCCCCCTCCCCCCAATTTTTAAAAATAGTGATTTTTTTGACTTGATAGCCGCTAATTTTTGATTATTTTTTTTCTATTCCATAAACAATACTAGTAAGTAATAATGACTATTCAATAGAGAGAAAAGTAATTTTCCTTTCCTGCAAGCTATTTTTAGACTTAAAATCAAAGATGGTAAAAACTGCTACCAGGTGTTTTGAAAGAGTGGTGGTAGTTTCATTTTCTTTCCCAAGTGGTTGTTTTCGTTTGATTATCTAATTTGTTCCCTGTTTACGCGAGGGTAAATGTTGAAAAATTCTAACAGAAGTTGTTAAAATCTTTCAAGGCTAAAACCACCTAAAGATTTTGGAGAATCCACTGCCGATAAATTCCTGGGTTTCAATGTATTTAAGTGAGAAAGAATCTTTTCAAGTTTTGGCTTTATTGCTTGTTATCTCGTAGCAATGCTACAACCAGAATTGGATAAAATGAAAAACCTCTACGAACACAATCTCATTTAAAACACCTTTTGCAAGTAATATTCGTAACTAGTTTCGACCTTTTCATCGCTCTCTCATTTAGGCGAAATTTGTTTGAAAATCATGGATTTTTTTAAAAATGTTTAATTCTTATAGAACTGTTTATTGGTTCATACTACAGAGATGAGTTAGATTTTTTTTTTTTAAAAAAAAGCTGAAAATACACATCCAAAAATTTTATGTGCAAAAACACTTTTTAAATAATAATTTTAAAGAACTGATAAAATTCATTTATCCACAGAATGGTATCAACGTTTTAATAAAACTAGGCGCTAATTTTGAAAGAATCCAACCTACCTCAATAAGTAATTATCCATAGGTAATTAATATACAGGGTTATTCATAATTCCCTCCGCCTGTAAACGCTATTTTTCTTTACTACCACTGGCTTCAGTGGTACATGTTACTGCCATCTAACGGCAACTGCTTACATTAAAACTTGAATACTTTCGGAATAATTATATACGTTCTTTTTTGCCATATTCGTTTTTTTACTATAACGCTTCGAAACCCCGGAGGAAATTATGAATAACCCTGTATAACTGACGGAAATAGCTCATAAACAATAAGTTTTTATTGAACACTAAAATAACGAAAACAGTTAAGCCATGATTCTGAATAAATCATGATGATATTCCATACTTCAAAATATGGTTCCAACTAACCATAAAACAATATTTAATAATACGATCAATAATCAAAGTTTATAAGCGAGTAACGATGAGCAAAGTGAGTGGAAAACCGCTTTTAAGATACCAGCGAAACAAAATGTCCAATATTTTTTCTATTTATTTAAGGGGTCACAGTACCTTTG